TGCTTTAAATGCTTCTTTTCTGTATGGTGCTTTAACAAATACCTTCTTCACAGAAGACACCAACTTGTCAACAAGCGGAAAATTTGCACGAATTGTTTCTGTAACACGGGGCAACCCATGGGCAAGGCAAGTTAAATGTGTCACATTTGGAAATATAACTTTAAGAGCAGCACCAGCTTTCATCATATAACTTGCGGCATCAGTCATAAAGAGCAATACGCGCTCATACTGAATGCCATTCGGCCATAGTAAATTCATGGAATTGATAAAAAAATTTGGAAATTGCTCTACTGCGTGAAGATATGGGGTAGATTGTTCATTCTTATTAAGGGATCCAACTATACAATTTGCAATAAACCATCCCTCACAATCTTGTGTTTCGTTGATTGATTATCTTTAATCTTATCTCTAATGCTTTCAATTGTAAGATCATAACACTGCTTCACGTAGTTTTTGCTCACAGTAGATTCATCCGGCACTTTGCACTGTATATACTTCTCTATGAAGTTTCTAAGAGTAGGACTGGTTAGTTTCCACAGAGGAATATCTGCCACTAAAAAGGTTTCGCATAAATCAAAGGAAAGCTGTGAAAAACTATTATTAGAAAATTCACTAAGCAATTTTTGAACAGGAGCACTTTTCATGGATTTAATTTTAATATTCTCTTTGTGTATATTAGTGTTCAAATGCTGAAGCACTTGAAAGCGTTTCTCACAACCATTTTCTCACACGCTCGGCAATAAACAATTTCGTTATCCGTACTTATCTCTCCTTCAAACTCCCGCTGATACAGCTGTAGTTTAGTTTTCTGGCTTACTTTCACTTTCAGCATGACTACAGAAAGCTAAACAAACTTAACTACAGACTAGTCACCACTAATGTGAATGGCCCCCAGCTTCAAATGAAGAAGCGTAACGAACCTCAGGTAGACTTCGGAAATAAATAAGTCCCTTATCGGTTGAATAGTAATACGTTGATAGCAGCTACATGTGAACGCTTCCAACTAATCTCTTCGCAGCCACTTTGATGGTATGTGGATGAGGCAAGTTACGAGTAGGGGGATCGGGGAAGTCCCGTCCTGGGTATTGCAACAGAAACATGAATCATGATGAAATGTTGAGTCAAATATGCAACATATTCTAATACGGAAAAGAAAAATTGTATACACATGACCAT